ACTACTACTACTACTACTACTACTACTACTACTACTACTACTACTACGACTACCACTACCACTACCACTACCACTACCACTACTACTACTACTTCTTCTACTTCTACTACTATTGTTACCACTACTACTTACTACTACTTACTACAACTTACTACAACTTACTACTACTTACTACTACTTACTACGACTTACTACTACTTACTACTACTTACTACTACTTACTACTACTTACTACTACGTACTACTACGTACTACTACCTACTACTACCTACTACTACCTGCTACTAGTACTACTAGTACTACTACTACTACTTCTACTACTACTACTACTACTACTACTACTACCTCCTTACTACTTACTACTTGCTACTTGCTACTTACTACTTACTACTTATGACTACTACTCACTACTACTCACTACTACTCACTACTACTACTACTACTACTACTACTACTACTACTACTACTACTGATGGAAGGAAGACATTGGCAACACCTGGAAACACGGTGAATTCTGTGTTTTTCCTTTTTTTTCACTTGGATTTCTGAACTTTTTCCATCAACTCTATGATTCAGAGAACGGCCTCTCAATGATAGGTCCTGCTGCAGGGTTGCGATCTACAGGAAATTGACACAACATCTTGCAATGAAAGATCTGTGTGACAATTGCATGTACCAAGTTCTTCAAGCGGAGGGATCCTTGAAGATACTTGGCTTCATGTTGATACCCAGAGAACCGGTTTCACCTCAAACAAGGTCTCCAAGGTATGGACCCGGAGAGGTTGGAAATTATAGAAGGGCTTCAACCAGCGACATGTCAATGGTTGGATATTGGAGGATGGCTATGTTTTAGGGATTTGGTGTTTGTTTGGTGCTATGCTGCTTCTGTACAGTTTAGACAATTTGTTTGGATTTGGATATTAAAGCAAGCGGGACCTGTTTGACGTGTGGTGGAAATCGCCCCAACCCCTGGAGCTTGCGTGAGCACCGCAGGCGAGTGGTCGGAGCCAATCAAGTTCCAGAGCAAGGACAGGGCCAGATGATGCGCAGTTGGGTTTGGACGGCCAAAGTGGTTATTCCATGACTGAAAATCTACAGAACTGCTGATGCTGGGATTCGCACACTGCCAATGACCTGCTAGGAACCGTTGCATTTGGCAAGCCGGTCTTGTGAAACGCATTCTAATGGCTGCATGTCGTTGATCTAACCAAGGTTGCATGTCTCGAGGGCATTAGGACAGGAATGTTCATCGGCTGGTCATCGCACCTTCGAACACAGTGAGTTACGATGTAACGACGCGACGTATTCGACTGAGTGAAAGAATCAAAACGTTGTGCTTTCGTGAGTCGACGTATTCGGCCGAGTTGGCGCGCCGGATCTCTCCAGGTATCGGTGTGAAGTAATCCGTTTTTCGTTGAACAGCACATCCGTTGAACAGCATGCTTGAGAACAAGAAACGTCAGGATGCTGCAGGACAGTCAAACAGCTACGGCCTCCAAAGCAATTGTTGAAAGGTGCTTAAGCCAGCGTCTTGTTGAAAGAGAAGCAAGTCTGCAAAGAGCCAATGAAGTCATTAGCATATGCAAATTGCATGATGCGAAAGGACACCAGCCCATGTTAAGAGATCGCAAGGCTATATAGCCAATCTTCCAAGGTTTTGCTGTAGAATATATACGGGAATGCCCAGGATTCAGGGATGTTACAGTAATATTTAAGGTTTATAGCTTGTATGTACCCAGAGATCGTATGGAATCCGACCCACTGGATATAAACCTGTCGGCCTTTTGGTGGCCGCTTCCAGCCATGGGTCCACTTTTCTGCCTACATGGGGCATGTAGTTTCCAGTGTACATGGTCTGAATGGATTATAACAACTCCAGGGTTGATCCGATCGATCCTGGAGAGTGACATGGTCTTCATGGTGTGAGATCAAGAAGGTCTCCAGTGTAGCCTTTGCGTAGCGTTAAACTTCCTTCTTACTGTCCGAGAGCCGAGTCCTGCGAGAGGCACTGTCCATGTTGGTTTGCAATCGTTTTGAACGAGTTCAAGATGTCGAAAGAACGATCAACTCGACCCTGGCCGTCCATTGACAGTCCGACTGTCAAAGGATCGGTTTATGATGATGATTGGCAAAACGTATTCTTGCCCAATCCTGGTAGCGTCCTTGCTCCTAGTAGTAAGGCCAGGAGGCCCTAGTACCTTCTTGGTTTTAGTAGCGATGCCAGGAGCCCCTACTAGCGTCCTTGCTCCTAGTAGATTATGGTATATATAAGATTACGCAGAGTCCATCATAATGCAAGTGGATTCTGCCATATATGCTTGACTGCTCGAGTCTGGCAGAATGCGACGTCGAGTCTCACAGCCCTTGTCCTTTGGCGCTGTGTTGAGCGGTTCTGAGTTCTCTTGGGTGCCACAGTGTTGACAAGCCATTTCTGGTTGTTGCTTCTGCCCAAGTCGAGGGTGAAATGGCTCTGTCAACTGGGAGACCTGGCTTCAGTTGGTCTCTTTCGGGGAGTCTCCCCATTCAACATCTCCAAGTCTATCAAGCGTAGCGCGCGGCAGGTCTTGCATCCTACAATTGATAGAGAGAGAATCCTGCAGCACTGTTGGGTCACCAATGCAAACAGATATTCATTGGTTTGAAAGCAGTTGATTGGACATCGTTTTTTGGGTGGTGCACTTGAGCATCAACAGAGACAAGGAGCCTCAGCTGCTGTTAGTGCTGAAACGTCAGGATGCGCGTGCCTCCAGCAACCCTACTCTTGAAGCAGGCATGTACGGGGGAAGTGGTTTCACAACAGTCATTTAAACAACTGTCGCTATTTTTGAACAAGGCCTTTACGATCCAGAAAAATCCACTGTTACTGGTAATAATCTGGTAATAGGATAGACCCAAGGCATGTGGATCAAGAAAATCACCCAGTTCAAGGAAAACAAGAGACAAGTCATCGAGAGGTGGGAGTTGAACAACGCAGAACGAGCACTCATGCACTCATTCTTCTTCCGGGGGAAGAACCCGCCGGACCGGAGAGAAAAACAAAACCAAGGAGGTGAGCCAAACAAATGGAATGAGCAATGTTGGTATTTCCCCGTTGCTACACTCAGTATTCATCAGTCTTGGCTGCAGGAACACATTGTTTGAGTGATATTTTGCTGGGTCCCTGCAGTGCTTTGGGGATTTCGGCTGTAGACTTACAAAAATGTATATTACAGTCAAAAATTGTATGTACGATACGTTGGTACTTTGGTTTGAAAAGCCTAGGTGATGGTTGTAGATCACACACGCCAGGAAAGGACCATTGATGAGGATGTACAACACGGCTATGACAAGGTATAACTAGTCGGTGTTATAGGAGTCAGTCTTGCACACGTTAAACCTGCAAACGGGAAGATGCTGAGTCGAAGGTGGTGAGGCTGCCGCAAAAACGGGGTCTTTGTTGTTCCAATGGAAAGAGTGGAGCCGGCATCTATGCTTTTGTAAGAGCCTCAATGGTGTGCTTAGGGTGGAGTTCCTAATCATTGAAAGAACTTCCAGGACATTCTTGGGTAATCAAACCATGTTGGAGTCCAGATTGTGAGTTTCCCAAAAGCCCTATTAGGCCTGAGAAACTCTTCTATCAGACAAGGCTGATCATTTCATTGTTCTAGGATTGACGCCCTGAACACCCTTGTGCTCTTTTATCGCTGGAATTTGGAATGCATAAGTTTTAGCAGGTCCACAAACAGACACGTATGCATTTGAGCTGGAGGGGGAGGGGCCCCAGTTCCCCGGGGTGATGTTTCAGAAGTGCTGACTACCGCAACTCGCAAGGAATGAGGGTTGCTAAATCATGCTAAATCCTAAGGTCTTTATATTATGCATATATGCCAGACTTCCCATTCCTTACGAGGCACCAGTCAGACTGTGGGGAATTTTGGGTTTGGAGTTTTGTGTCTTCTCCCGGCAGGTGAGACCATGTCCATTGGAGGAATCCCGACAGATAGCTGGGTACAGAAGCTCAGACACTTGACCAGATCGGACGAAGTCGGACGAAGGGTTGCTCTGTCATGTTAGATGTGGATTGCTTTACTTCTGAATTATTATTGAATTTTATATTCTGAATTTATTCAGTTCTCGGCCACCTGAACCGGCCTTCGGCGCTGCCAGCACGGCGATCTCCGTCCACACGCATGCGCGCTCGCATCGTCCTGGCCACCGACGAGCCGGCGCCACGTCCTCCGTGAGTCGTGAGGTCCTGGGCGTGAAGGAGACGAGCCTGCAGCCCTTACTCTCCTTCCGAGTCCCTGCGGAGGCCGGGCGCGCAGCCGGGCTCGGACCTGGGCGCATGTGGATGTGTGGCGGCCCTGGGGTGGTGGCATGGAGAGGCCCACACAGAGAGCCTAGGCTCTCTACAAGCCTCGCAGACCTACGACGCAGTCGAAATCCAGCTGTTCATCCACTTGGCTTTGTTTGTTTTTGGAAGATCATGGACAGGTCATGTTTCCAATTGTGGCTCCATATCGATGGAATGGGAACCAATAGTATCATCCGGCTGTGATGCTAGCAGTCGTTCAGACTGGGCACAGCGTTGTACTGTGGAGTAGCGGGTCGTAGGATTCTCCAGACTGGTCCTTCTATGCTATGAGGAGTTTCTATGCTTCAGACGTGCTTCCTCGTACCATGGTCCCTTCCTTCCTGGGACCATTTAACAATATTTAACAGATGTTTCCCAGCAATTGTTCTAGACTTGCCCTTAGACCATTTGGACATTGTTGGAAGCTGGCAGAGCGGGTGACCGCCAGTGGGTGCCAAGATGGTTTATACATGTCTATAATACATTTGCTTTTGCTCTCATCAAGCTTTGTAGTTTGATGCAGTTTTGTAGGGTGAGCCATGTCTTGTGCATCCTGAAACTTTACTGGGCAGCATTGGCACCGGCATTGTCGACCGGGGTGGCCTTACAGCCTTACACCACCGGCATTGCACCCTACAAATAGATCGACAACTGCCAAAACGAGTGACAAATCCAAGCGCGATTCTATAGTGGTTGTTTCATGTTCTTTCGATATATAGCAAATTTTATTATGCACGTTGAAGCCTGGAGAGCTATCCACCACACCTCCGGCAAAAGAGTTGCTGCATGATCACCAGCTGTGTTACAAAAGTGATAGGGACCCCTGAAAAGCATCTTGTTGCTTTTGTCCTCCTCGTGTGTTTGACAGTGAGTTTGTTTGCTGAGACAATGAAATTGAAGCAAAGTCTTCATTTACTGTGTTGTTCCCCACCTGTCAGGTGAGGGTTGTTAGATTTTATGTCAGCCCCATCTCCTCCTCCCTCTCCTCCTTCTTCTCCTTCTCCTCCTTCTCCTCCGCCGGACCTCAACCACGATCATCCACGCCCAGTGTTCCCTGCCAGACCTCAACCACGACCATCCGCGCCCAGTGTTCCCTGCCGGACCTCAACCACGAGCTCCAGGCCCAAGTGTTCCCTGCCGGACCTCGACCACAGAACACAACCACAAGCACAAACACACCCACAAACACACAAACACAACCACAAACACACAACCACAAACACAACAACCAACACACAGCAACCACAACCACAAACACACAACCACAAACACACAACCACAAACACACAACCGCAACCACAACCACAAACACAACCACTAACACACAACTGCAAACACAACAACAAACACACAACAACAAACACACAACCACAAACACAACACCACAAACACACAACAACGAACACACAACCACAAACACAACAACAAACACACAACCACAAACACAACAACAAGCACACAACCACAAACACACAACCACAAACACAACAACAAGCACACAACCACAAACACATCCACAACTACAAACACACAATCACAAAGACACAACCACAACCACAACCACAATTACACACACAATCACAAAGACACAACCACAACTACAAACACACAATCACAAAGACACAACCACAACCACAACCACAGCTACAAACACACAATCACAACCACTACCAGTACCACAAACATAATCACAAATACACAGCCACAAACACAATCACAAACACACAGCCACAAACACAACCACAAACACAATCACAAACACAACCACAAACACAACACAGCACACAACCACAACCACAACACAGCACACAACCACAACCACAACACACAACCACAGCACACAACCCGAGGACTCACAAGCAAAATCAAGAACTATTACAATACTCACGACCTTGGCAACATGCTCCTCATTATGGCATCAAGACAAATGGTTGGAATGTCATTCTGGGGATCACTCGAAGTAAAGTAATTTATTTTTCTTGGTTTGACTCCTTCTCTATTAGAGTCACGATGTGGCGGAGTCTCTAATTGAAGTGCGTCACGTCTCGAATTGGTTTTGCTCAATCCAGGCTGAAGAAGAAGAGACCAGGCACGATGGCCAGTGTGGGACTGATGCCATGGTGCGGTTTGTTTGGACTGATGCATGAAGGAAGCTGAAAGCAAACAACACCTGATATAGGGCCCCGCGGGCCGTTGGGCAGAGAAAACCGTTTGTTGTGCATAGAGGAGCGGTTCTCAACGCAGCAATCAGTTGTCTCTCCGGGTCCACCAGGTCGTAACAGGTCGTAAATTGGAAGCAATTGATAGCAAGAACTAAGAGTACATGCTGCAATACCCATCAGGAATTTGCCCAAGGCCGGATTGTTTGTTGTTCTCATGGGATGATGCAGACAGCAAAGTCCAAGCCATCAAGGATTGGCATCAACTGTTCAACGCTTCTCTGGAGAAAGTTCCCATGGACCACCGGTAGGTAGGGGCCAACGATGCATGGAAACCCTGAGACCATCCGTATGTGGGATCCGAAGTGAATTCATCTTGGCCACAAAAGGGATTTGCCGGGACCGGTGACCCCCAAACACCACAAGAGACCATGGGGGTCACCGGTCCAAATAGTGGACTCGGACCGCCGTTCTGAATAGATCCGGCAGCATGGAGCCCCCTTAGTATGACAGTTTTTGTTGTTTTGCTACATTTTGTATGGAAGAGCTTGTGTTTCTGATGACAGCGTATCCGCCTTCGTCACAGATTTACCATTTACTCACATTGTGGTGAGCATGTTCCCCTTCAATTTGAGCAACCTCCGGGCCAACCGCCCAGCCAACCGCCCTTTGGATGCATCAAGGTGGTCGAATCAGGTGGCGCTCTCAGCTGCCGGAGGCCTCGGCGCAGGTGAACACCGGGTGCCCAATGGACGATTGGAGAGAGAGAGAGAGAGTAGGAGTAGCACCTGGACGCACCGGAACCACAGTACAAAGATGCAGCAAAGTTGGGATCATATTGTGATAGCAAGCTTCACATCCCCGGACATCTAGCAAAATTTACCAAATCGAAGATTTCGGACATCCCCGGCGCGGAAATAGCAAGCCCACCAGTCATGACAGAACTGCTGGTCCACAGTTCTGCGCGTAGAACCAGCGCTCCCTGAGAAAAGCCACGTTGGTCTGAAAAGGCTGGTCTGGCCTATCAGAGCTTCAGAGAGCTTCCATGCGCACCCAAACTGTTGATTTAGGATGGTTTTCAGTATTATAGTAAAACTCATTGTCGGAACCGTGTTGTTCATGCTGAAGTGGATTGCGTACTTTAGCTGCTCATGTTTGACATGCAAACACACAAATGGTCAAAGAGTTAAATATGAATCTATCAGCTCTTTGTCCGGATTCTCCAAGATTGGTGTCTCACGATTTTTCAGCCGCTTCAAGAACCTATCGATTCAAGAAGAATCCATCGGGGAGCGCCCGAATTCCTCATATGTTCAGGAGCCCGGAATTCGAAGTTGGCAACGAGCAGAGCTGATTTTCCGGTCGTGACTCCGTCGAGTCGTCGTGACTCCGTCGAGTCGTCGGGGACATGGCCCTGGCCGTGTGTTTGAGGTCGGTGATAGCGTGCTTGCCCTGCCACATCTGGTGGGTGAGCAGCCATTGCTGGTGCGGAACCTCAGGCTTCTGCCGAATACCTTCCGACGCGTTGGCTTGTCGGATACTAAAGCCCGAAGCCACAGAGGAGAAGCAGTTGATCATAGTTGATCCATGTTGATCCCTCCTCTCACTGTAACTGGTAGGGATACCTTCGGATGGCTTGATCCGAAGACAGAAAGAGGCGATTGCATACTGTGCTGGAAGACACTTCTCCCTTAGGTATTTGTATTTGACCAAACCGCCATAGATGTCGCATAATGTAGAATAATTAGTATATATATATATATATCATAGAGTAGCCATAAATCATACGTACGTATCTATATACAATTTACTGGTTTGTTACAAGTCACGAAGCCGTGTCCATGAAAGACCCATTGGTGGCTTTGTGGATATCAAGTAGACTGGCATTTCTCCAGCATAGGCTGGCTGGTCTATCCAGTGCCACAATCTCAGACATCTACAGGAATGTGCTCCATATCAATATTGAAGGTGCTGGTGTTACACTGTTTCTGTATATTTCTGTGCACCCACAGCTCAGATTCCGTGTTTGCACACCTATATAGATTGACCTTGATTGACCATGCACACCAGCTTCGTGTAACGCCCTTTAGGCATCAGAAATTCCAGGCTGGGGCGAGGTATGCGAGAAGAAATAGACCTCTTCAGAGAATCCGAGTCCTTCAGTCTTTTTGTTGCACAACTAAGTGAAGGTCCTTTCTCAACCCTAGGGATCACCTTCTCAAATCCACGAGACCTCAGGTGAGAGCCTCCATCCAGTTGGAGGGCGGGGCGGATGCGTCAAGGGGTGGACAGAATGCGGAATCATGGCAGAATCAAATGCTACTAGTAGTAAGAAAAGGGGGGGGGCACATGTCATGTTTGTGCATGTTTATTTTTTTGTGCAACTTAGTGGTGACTGTGGGGGTGCCAGAAGTTTGACTCAAACATGAAAGCTTCAAAAACTCAAAGAAAAAGATATAAAAAGACCACAGGCGTGTTCCTGGCGAACATCTAGGATGTTGTTCGTTTACCCTGGCGAACATCTAGCATGTTGTTCATTTACCCTGGCAAACATCTATATATAGAATGTTCATTTTGATGGGCTTAGAATGAATACTGTAAGTCATCACTAAGTCGTTTCTTTGTTCGTTTTTCTTCACCTCCCAGATGGTCAGCCTTCGCCATCGTCATCGTCGCCCGCCAGGTGCGATGCTGTTCTTGGTCCTCTCCAGGTGCCGTTTTCCGAGCCACACGGAGCGCGGAACGCGGAACGCGGAATCGATACTCCACGACTTGGTGGAGCGAAGTCACGTCATACTCGAGTGCCCACAGCGAAGTCACGTCATACTCAGCATGAATTCAGAGTGACGGCCCCCAAATATGCCCAGCAATGGCCAGCAATGTTTGTTTTAAGGATTTGACATCATTTGCCGGTCTCGAGTTTGGACACTTGCAAGGGGATATTGGCCCTTTGAGATTGAGAATCGCTCAAATCGACACTCAGCCGAGACCTCAGTGTTTTCCGTGCCGAGACCTCGCTTTGCCTTCGCTTCGAGAGCTTTGGGTCACAGGCTGAGGTTGACGACATGAATTGACAAACAAACATGTTTTTACTTAACAAGAGTGTGGTGCACCTTGCGAACATTTCGGATTGAGCTCGTATTTGTTCTGCTTAAAGTGCTCAGAAGGACTGAAGGAAGGAATAAAGGAAGGAAGGGAGGAAGGGACATATATTTCTTCCACTATCCTTCGCCTGCGGAAACTGAGCTCTTAAAATGTCGACCCTGTTGCACTGCACCGTCAACCAATGCGGAATCGGCACTACTTCTTCCAATGCACTTCGCCTGCTACGACAGTATCCTTGAAGCGTCAGCCCTGCTGCGGAAATGGTTCTTATTAGAGGCCAGCCACGCTGCATTGGCATTGCGCCTTCAAGAACCCACAAACTGGTGTCAATAGCAGCGAGCCACGCTGCTACACCAGATGAAAACTTGTGAAAACTCTACTAGAAAACATGAAAAAGACTTGACTCATTAAATCAGCCTTCTTTATAGGTGGCCAAAAATGCTACCCAGGTAATTAAAATCAAGTCTAAGAGGTGGTGGCTTAAAGACAATGAGGATGTTGTCCGTGTCCTTAGACAGTTGGAAGATGACCTCGCTTCGCTTACTGAGCAAGGTGGTCTTCCACCAAGAGGGCACCGACTTCAGCCAGGACTTTGTTTGACAACGTGGGGTGTTTCCATGAAGGGGATGAGAAAGGAGATGCAGAGGTGGAGTATGTAGATGTATTGTGGAGTTTTAAGGAGTTGGTGCAGTAGGTGCATGTATAAGATAATATTCAGCTGATGTCAGCATACTCCAGACCATGATGACAACCGATGTCTTGCAAACATCACATGTTTTCATGCACGGTTTTGCAATCCAAGGGGATTCCCAACAAAGAGGAAACCATTGTTCATGGTGTGTTCCCGTTACAGTATGATGTTTTATCGTGTTTTTATCTTGTTTTATCAAGTTCAAGAGGTCAAATTACATCAGTGCACCAGTTGCGAACACTGAAGATCTCTGACACGAAATGGAACGTGTCACGCGTTGGTTCGTCAGTTTCTGCAACTGCAACAGGCTGTGGATTCATGTCGTGAGACGGTACCTACCTTGCTGGAATGTAGATAAGGTGGATTTAGTGGTGGATTTTTCTAAAGTCAGACATTGTAGTCTTGAAGAACCATGTGGATCGAATGTTTGCACATCAACATTGATGTGGGATGATTTTGGTGTGTTCCTTCCTTTTGCCCAACAGCAACGTGCCTCTCACCAGTCTAGGTACCCTCCTATAGGGCTTTGTTTGTTTCCCTCACCCTTTCTGACTCCGACACGCCTCCGTACCGTCGCGACCTCCGTCGCGCTCCGTCGGACTCTCCGAATTCCTCGGCGACCGACGTCGCGGCCGCGGCCGAGGAGTGGATCTTGCGACCCTGCGAGGTGCCCGCGACGCACAGGGGGAACCGAAGCGCGGATCGGACGTGGGCGTGTTCCGCGAATCGGCGGACGGCGCCAGAACAGGTGCATGGGCAGGTGGAGGGCTGGTGGGCTGGTACCATACCTCCAAACTCGAGTCAGTGGGTGTGCACGGGTGCTCTCCTTGGAAAAAAGAAACTAGACGTACACTCCCTGGAAAAATCATGGAAGTGGAGTTCACCACCTGTTAGTATGGAGGATTTCATGGTCATCCGAGGCTCAAATGGGCTATTCTCCACTTGCATGATTGGTCCAGAGAGTGTAGGTTGTTTCAAGTCAAGAAGGATTCCGAGTGGATTTGCTTTCTTATTTGGAGATCAAATATATCAAACTCTCAAACCTGCAGTATGGAAGCCATGTGAAGCCACGATTTTATAACTTGGGGCTTTAGCCAGACATGGATTATGTTCATATGTGTTCATCCTCAAATCCAAAAAAGAGCAGGCCAAAGTGAACTCTTTTCAGGATGTTGCTCTTGAGGGTCACCGAATGGTCCTTCTGCCTCCCAGCCTCCCAATTCCGCTCTCTCCCGTGGAACACGGTCCTTCCAGGTGCGTCGCTTTGTTTTCCCAGACCCTGAGAAGCCCAAGACCCTCGAAGGCAGGAAGGGACGGCCCAGCATCAAAAGCTGAAGCGATCTGGGGGCGTGTTTCGGTGTCGGCGTTGATTTGGCGAAGCTGTATGTTTTACAGGTTCCAATAGGTTCAATAGGTCAAAGAGGCTTTGGCTATCTCATCAACGCAATGTGTGATGTTTACAGAATGCGTCGGACCGCGCGCAGAGGTCCTGGACTGGACTAGCTTTGTCATGCTTTGTCATGCTTTGTCTCGTGTAGGAAAGTGGTAGCCTGTGGATCCCTTATTTGTGTAGCTCCTAAAGTTCCTAATCCCCATAGGGCTCCAACCACCTCCTGAGAAGGTTGGTTGGCGTGGGTTTGGAGGGTCTAACCACAACCTGAGGATATGGTTGGAGCCCGCGGTCAAACATTTTTGAGGTTGAAAAAAGTCGGTGGGCTCGGGGTGGCCCAAATGGCATGTAGAGCAGAAGGTGAGGGACTGAGATGGACTGAGGCCGCTTGGAACGTTCTCTTTGGATCTGTTTGGATGGACTCCTCCTATGTGTCTAAGCGAAAAGATGACCGATTTCTGGCGCTTCAGTTGCACGCTTTCACTTCACACGTTACTTCTTGGATTCATGTTCGCATGTCCAGTGTTCCCAGCCCCAAACGCAGACGCTTACAATTCTGCAGAGATCTGCAGAGCTGCCGCATCCGAGAGCGCTCTTGCGCACTGCCAGGGCGTATCTTGGGAGCAGGGCAAGAGCTCGTGTGGGCACTCAGGAAATACAGCGGTGGCAGGTTCAAAGCGTCGAAGAAAAAGAACTCCGGCTGAGCCCAGCTAGGCTTGTTGCCTTTCTTCCATGGTTTGCTTGAGGTCTTCCTGTTGTGATACCTTATGCGTATGCACGGATACAGTCTTTGCAGCCGCATAAATGTACAATATTATATAATCTATATATGTTTTTTTTGGGGGAAATGATGCAGGAGGTAACAAGATGCAGAAATGATGCTTTTGGGGGCGCCAGAAAGAGCTCCACGAAGACCTGAATCAGCTCCAAGAAGATGGGAAGGTATTGGGAAGGTATAAATCAGCTCAAGTCTTCTAAGCAGCTTCTGCTGAATCAGCTTCCGATGTACCAACTCGCTAGCGATCGGTCGCGGGTGTTTGGCCTGAGGCGGTGCGCTACGAGCTGGACAATATCTCCGCAGGTGGCGTGCAGCGAGAGCTTTGGTGTCCTGGTCGCTCCAAACCTGCCAGGAGGCCCAGAGAGACCAAGAAGAGCTTGGAATAGTTTGTCTACTGATGGTATAGGTACATGTTGTTGTGAATGTTGCATTTTACTTTGGTTCAACAGTTCAAATGTTTTATTTATTTGGCAAGCAGTGCAAGTGAATAATTACTAGGTTGTCGTCGGAAGTGTTGATGCCGGAGGGTCGGATTTCAAAGCCTCTCTTTTGCAGTCAGTGTGTGTGTGTGTGTGTCCCCCTCCGTTTTTAGTTTCTAGGAGGTTTCTGGCCCTTTCATTTCGAGCATGCAGGGCGTGAAAGCAGCCCATCCAGTCTTGCACCAACGAAGACACTGGATGCGTGCTGGTGAAATCGATTTGGGACACCAATCGACGTACCTGCTTGACAACTTACTGACTCCAATGGTCCGCCCTTCCGTCGTAGTTTTGCTCGCATGGTGGTTCTCATGCTACTTCCCCCAAACCTCTCCTCCTCACTTTTTCCCACAGAATTGCAGCATCCGTGCAGCTAGTTTCGTGAGCGGTTTGATCGAACATTTCTTTTGTTCAAAAGCCTTCACACCGACTGACCCAGCGATCTTGCCGTTCTTGCATCCATTTCCCTGTGGATTATGACATTGGATGAAACCTTATCTAAGTGTGTGTGTGTGTGTGTGCGATGTTAATATTTTTTTACAACTGCTTTGAGCGCACAAAATGCTCGATGTTGCTGGCAGCAGCCAGTTTTGGTGGTCACTTTGTTGGCCGTTCTGGTGAAAGGTAGAGCCGAGAAGTTGCCAGTCCGCAAAGATGATGTTGGTGTATTGTTCCACTGAAACTTGGTTTTTGTTATAAGTGACTACATCGATGTGTCAGAAAAATGTGCATATCTCTGTGCGTTCTGCCTCGATCCGAAGGGGTGATGCTGTGCAGATTCCTCGCTCCTTTTCTTTGGTGTTCTCAGTTGAAATGGTCCATCCAAGTGAGACTGGTCCATCCAACAACATGGAAGTGCAGTTCATCCCCCTTTTTGGAATTCGGCCCGGCGGCTATCCGCTTCCATGAGGAAAACCAGGGACGAATCGACCGTTCCATAGCTCTAGCCTGCTCCTGCTCAGCAAGTGTATTGCACTGACAGTCCAATGATGAATCCATCAGTTAGTAAGGTATTCAAGACATCTCTCATTTCGTTCCGATTAAGTCTGCGATGGCACATATAACATATAATGATTCATGAACGGAACGGGGTCTAACATGGTCTATATAACTCGAGACTCACGTTCCGTGCTGTGACTTGCCTCTTCCATTGTCCAAGGCTCTCCTAGCAACCTTGCTCTTACGCGGGATGAGCCGACGTCTTCTGCCCCGTGACCAGGAGGTGCTCCGACGTCATCTTACATGTTCGCATTCAATGGTTGGTGTTGGTTTGGAAAAAACGATGGTTGTGATGTCAAACCCCAAGGCATGAGATTAGTGAATGTATCATATCGAACATGGGGTATTTTGCCATATGTTGCCCACATTCCACGCCAGAAGAATCGATCAGATGGTGTTTTAAATAGTAGCATGGTCCAGTTGTATCAGGGCATTTTTTGTGGACAATTCTCTTGTCTCGACAACACGGCACCACTCAACAAATCTCACTCATCATCACTTATCCCACCAAACACCTGAAATACTAGCCACTATACTACTGCGAATTTGTTGAAGGATACTGAGAAGCTCTTACCACAACTTGGAAGATGGATCCAGCTGTGTCTGACAGGCTCGTGTTCGATTTGTCTTCCGAACACCGCAGAGTCCGAACGCGGGAGAGTCCGAACGCGGGTGACACGGGTGACAGTCGCGGAGAGTCCGGCAGTGGCAGTGTTGGTATGGTGGGGGATCTGCTAGCAGCTATAGCAACAGCTGCAGAACCATTCTGTGGCTGCGCTTTGGACCAGGAGATCATATGTTTGTGGGGCCTCTGGTAGGGCGAACATATGCGAAGTAGATTCTGGAGTTAAATAACGCTTTGAATTTATACTACAACAACATTAAGATTCCATCCATGATACATCATTCACAGGACAAAAAGTCTCCATGGCTTGGGTACCTTATGGTACCTTGTACCAAACCTGCTCCTTATGTCCCTCCTTAAAAGGGCCGGGTCAGGACGGCCCGGGGCTTGGACGAGAGAGTCACCAGATCTCGCAGACACGACTCCTGGAACACGACGCGAAATCAGTAGCAGGGGCGAAATGTGTGGTGTGTTTTCGACTTATAACACATAAGGCCAGGAACTGAACCGAGCAGAACACGGAATTGAAAGACTGAACAACTACTGCAGGTTCGTCTCAAAACAGAATGTTTTGTCATTTCCAGATGTGATGTTTAATTGAGAAATGATAAACGTATTTCCAGTATTTGATGTCATTTTAAATGATGTTATTTCATGATGTTGTTTTCGATTGAGATGGAGTCCGGGTGCCATGCACCAGGCTGTGAGCACTGAGAAGGACAAGGCGGCGGTTCTACGCATGTGTTTTTGCGCCGGTCGCGTCCGTTCCTGGGGGGTTAACGCTTAAGGGACCGGTTCAAAACAAACATGGCTAAAGGTCGAGACTAGAGATTCAGGAAAGGTGAATCTATGACCCTGGTGACCAGCGAATCGGAACATGCCGCGAAGGCTTTGACCATCGACGGGCTTCAAGCTGTTTGAGCAGCCACATTTGCCACATTGTTCTCCATGGGTTGTCCCCTACTATGCGGCGTGCAACTCTAGCCGTGCTCCAGCAGAATCATATTCGGAGAGAAAGTGCAAGATGATAGATTGGACAATACGCGGTGGGGTGTGCAGGTGTAGTTGCAGGTGTGTGTTGTTTTTTGTTCAGCCAGATCGCTGGTTATTTTCTTCAAGTATACAAGCGCAGTTGAAGAAACGCGAGCAGTTGCAACTGCCAGGCTATGCATGAAGAGCATGAGGACATCCAGGCGCATATCTGGAAAACACTGTTTCCATGGCGCGAATTCAAAGGTGGTGGTCTTTCAAACATGCGGGACGTTAATTAGTTGTTTGTGCACGCTTGAGGGTTGTTTTGAGCTTGGAACATGTCCAGCAGAGATCGTTCCTGGCGTGGATGTAGATGAGCAGCTTGAGACGAACCGGAGCTTCTTCAGCCGGATCCGCAAAGCCCGATCCTTTTGCACACGGATGTTCACCAGAGAGGCGGTGCCTATACCGCCATGCAAGTCCGAAGAGAAAAGACATAGATCGACAGAAGAATGGTGGCATTTGGGATGAAACGGAGAATCCGTTTTCTTCACAGAAGACATAGTTGGCCTCCATGTTCAAATCCATCATGGCTTTCGGTGTGACTGCCCATAGGCTCTCTTTTGTTCAGGATTTGCCACCTGGTGCTTCTTTTCCCCACGATCCTGCTCACAGGACCAGGCAGCCTTGGTGAATCGGATGGCCTTCGACGTCTTTTTCTCAGGCGTCGACCTGCATCGGCGCAACCGGAGGGGGCTCTCGAATTAGGGGAATGGGATGAAATAGGAACACATTCTCAAAGCAACACACGAATCACGGTCTGGAAGATGTTTTTCTCAAAAAAAGGAGGACACCTGACCAAAAAGGCACCAGGTCGGTCACTTGCCAAAAGCATGTTTTGCATTTTTTGCCATTGTGTGCCAGGGTGCCCATATATATATATATATATTATAATATGTGCCCATAGTTGTGCCCAGCCCTGTGGCCTCTTTGCTCTCGTTCTTCCTCGCTCTTCTGTGCTCCGACCACGGTTCCACGACCACGTGGCCCGATCTCGACGCCCGTGGGGGTTCGGTTCGGCGGTATCAGCTCTCGGTTTAGATCCGCTTAAGGCTCAAGGCGAGGCGGCGTGGGGACCAAATACATCGGCCTGCAACGTATACCGTATATCGGCTTTTTCTGGGACCAAGGTCACCCAGTTCGTCAAGACTAGTTCTGCAGACGGACGCACCAGGTCACCCTACCCACGGCGTTTGAAGTCCGACCTGGGCGTCTGAGCGGCTGAAGACCACGGACCAGAAAGTCAAAGTCTATCTCCAGAGGGAAGTCCCAGGCCCACTTTCCGCATACCCTGGCTATGAGCTTTTTTGGGTGTAGACTGTAGATCCCTTCCCTGCTGCGTGCACGCACGTGCTCGTGGCCGTCACGGCCGACCCAGCAGTCCCTTCCGGACGCTTCCGTCCTCCGCCCCGGACGCGTCACCCGCCTCCGCGGAGCGGGACCTGGAGACCGGTGTGAGGCCTCCATGTGTGTTTGGCCGATACCTTGAATCAAGTCCCAGAAGAACTTCTAGCCTTCACCGCTGGGGCGCCGAGCGGCCCGAAGGGCAGATTGGATATATCTTTCGAAATGGCGAAGATGGGGGCGGATTGGAGCTGCAGTGGAGCAATGTTACCATGAGCTTGGGTTAAAATCCATTGGGAAAAGATCAGGAAAGAACAACTAGAGCTGTAGTGCTGTAGGCGTCAACATCCATCGGAAACAATCAAGAAGCAGGATAGTCAATGATAGTAGAACCTTTGCTTTAGATTGCTATGGTGGGTAGTTATATCGTTGCATGAAGACTATCACACTTGTTGGTGCATGTTCATCCACAAAACCAAGAGCTTGCAGTCCTCTTCAT